AGCTCTTGGAAACATTTTTCTCTTACTTCAAGTGTGTGAAGTTAAATCAGAGTTGTTTTTCTCAAGATTTCATCTGTATAACTAGGGCCTGGCTATTCCAGAAACTTCCATTACCAATGGTTTACCAGGAAGCAGCAAAAATAGTTTTGGGACTGTTAATCTATAGAATACATTGGAAACAGAGCAAAATCAACCATGCCACTTGTCCCTAATCAGTCTTTTCCAGTAAATTCCCTAATCATAAAGGAGGGGTTTTAACAAATGGTCACATTTTTTGTAGCCATAGTCAGTGTTCTAGACACTGAGGAAACATTCTTGGATAGCAGACTGTTCAATAGAATGAATCAGAAAAGAGTCCTGTCATTTAGTCTGAGTAATTCCTTTCAGTAATGCCAGGATGGAGATACACATCATCAAAAACAGAGTCATTAATGTCAAGAGGGAAAGTCCAGGTAGATAATGGATTCCATAAGTACCTTTTCAATTCATAGCACTTAAAACAAGAGAAAGGACCCTTGAAATATTTAAGTAGCCAACCCCCAGCAAAGTGATGTACTATTAATAAAGCTGTGCCCAGCATAAAGAAGTCTAGGTGAAATCAGGAGGGGGAAAAAAGAAACCAATGAAAACAGAGCCTGCTAAAGCTAAAGCAAATACACAGCTAATCTGCACATAAAGCTTAGGTAGGAAGAACTAGCACCAATGCAGTAGAGCAAAATTAAGTCTTGCTGTGGATCAGTTCAAATGATTTACTGCACCAAAGTAGCGTGCCTTTAGGATCCCTCTCCCCTGCTGTCATTTCTTTTCATTGCAGCACCGAAGAGCACTGATATTTACCCAAGGAATGAAGGTAGACAGTAAGCTAAAAGTTTTCAGGTGACTCTCTGTAGCCTCCTAGGGGAATCTGAGTATTTGAGACAAATTATAGAATTGGTTGATCTTGACCTACCTTGTGGACTAGTAGCACCAAAAAGTGATCCAAACTGTCAACATAAGTATGTACTCAGAAGCTTGCAACGTTTTTGTTCCTACCTTCAAACTGAGGTGTGTGTGTGTGTGTGTGTGTGTGTGTGTGTGAGAGAGACAGAGACAGAGACAGAGAGAGAGAGAGAGAGAGAGAGAGAGAGAGAATCAAATGCTACATGACTAAAGGAAGGTAAGTCATTGAGAAAGAATAAGAGAAAGATCCTTTTCTTTTTAAAAATACGTCAAATATTAAAGATGTCAAACAGTAGTTCAAACACTTTTAATCATCTTTCAAATGAATTAAACTTTCAAAAAACTACACACACAACTGAGTGCACATAAAACTATATCACTGTCAATTTCCAATTTGTGATATTGTAATGTAGTCATTCAAGATGTTACCAATGAAGGGGGTGGGGAAGTGTGTGAAGGAAACATAATCTGTCTGTATTATTTATTACAACTGCACATGAATCTGTATTTACCTCAAAATGGAAAGTTTTTTTAAAAAAATCTTTAAAAAGCAATTAATATGTGTGTTTTTTAAAGTCAAATTTAAATCTCTGAAAACTCATTTAAAAATAAGAAGCAATATTACACTCAAACTGGGCATTAAAAAACATTTTAGAGCAAGCAGTGAAGCTGTCAGACATTCAATGCCAGATTGTAGAAACCAGATAGTTGGGTTTAAGAGATGTTTGCATCCATTCAACATCCAAGAAACATATTAAGCACCTGCTGTACACAGTTCCTGCCTTGTGGTAGAAAGCTAACCAGATGGTCTCTGGGGGTCTCTAAGTGTACCGGCAAGTGGTTGGGTTGATACCAACTCAGTATCTTGATGGGGGGCTGAATTTGGCAGATCACAGCGCCGACCTCAAGAGTGTTTAACATAGGTGCTGTGAAGCTCCTTTAAAAAAGTGACTTCCTTACTGAGATTTTTCTTATAGAAGCAAACCAGAAAAACGGTGAATTCTAGTGAAGGAGACAATAGCCAGAACAACCTGCTACATACTGGATTCCACTCAGGCCTTTAGTAGGCAGAGGCTAGGGAGAAGCGGGTTCCTAAGAGGCACTTCCAAGGAGGACTAGGAACCCTTTCCCCAGATGATGAGGCTCCTGAAAGGTGTGTGTAAAGAAATTCTCTTACCATCCTCAAACGGGGTCCCTTCGGGCCTGAAATACAGAGAAAAACAGTCAGTTCCCGCTTCAGGGGTTCCTCACTCCCTGGTTCATTTTACGAGATGGCTATTTCGGGCTCTGCCAAGTCCTGTCAGCTCCACCTCCGGTAAAGCCCGGGTTCCCGGGTTGGATAATTCACTCCGAATAGGTGTTTCGGGCTCAGAAACCGAGTGCAGGCCGCCGAGCCTAACCGCCGCCACTCCCCGCCCCGCCCCCCTGAGAACCCCAAACGGTTCCCCCGGCAGCGGGAAGCGAGCTAATCGAGGCACAGGCTCCGGAGAGGCGCCTAGGCCCGGCCAGACCCCAACACTGTCCCTCTCCCACTCCGCTTTCGTCAGGGGCCGGTCCCAGGGAGCCAAGAAGAGCCACCTAGCATCTCCCATGGGTC